CCCGTCCAAGATTATCCCTCCGAAATCAATTTTCTCCCCGCGATGGTGTTAATCACGCCATCCTTCGGATCCGTGGAAATAATAATAGTGGAGTGGTGGTCCACTCCATTCCACGGATACAACCGTGTAATGGTTTTTCACGGAAAAAATTTTATTTTCCAACACGCACTCTTCATCAACGAACTGCTACTTCGCCTCCTTGAAAAATTTTACACTCTCTCTCCGAAATGGATTTAAAATGGGGGGGATGGAGGGCTCGTTGCTAGTGCAGTTTCGACCACCACACTCTCCCTCCTTATGACTTTTTCCGACTGGTTGAAAGTGAGAACGGTGGTTGGGATTAATCGAAAAGTTAATTCTGTTCTCGGGCGCAAATCCGAGATTATCCCGGGGAAAAGAAAAAAAAATAATTAAAGATTCGTGGGATAAAGACATTGGGTGCGTTGGAAACAATAGGAATCCCCGTTGGATCAGGGAATTATCGGCCATTTCGCGAAAAGATTCTGATGGAACGCGATGGAATTTTTCATCTTTTCTTGGTGTTCGTCGCAATTTATAGCGAAGGATTAATACGAATGAATTTGATGTCAATTGAAAACGAATGACGACTTAATTAACGTTAACATGTGAAAAGAAAAAGTGCTGAGATAGTAGCGTGGTGATTATTTCTAATTCTTGAAATCCTTTCAATTCGAATTTATTTTATTTCTTTCTGAGTATTGATACGATTATTATTATTATTTTTATTTTTCCAAAATATCGATCTCCTCTCTTTGATTCTCGTAAATCTCCATAATCCAGGTAATTTATTTCCCCGATAATTATGCAGGTGCATCAAAGGGATCGGGATTTTTGGCGTAAACCGCAACGATATTCGACGCTCGGCTCGAATTAACGTCATTATTTTGAACGATTACTAAAATGATCAGACTCCACGCTGGAATTGATTGGAATTTCACACAGTTGGAGTTCCGGTTGCGATTCGTATTGGAAAGTATCGCGTTAACGAGCCGGCGAAATAATTAACAGACTCTCGACACACGCGGACGTGATCGCCATATTTGACGTTCCTTATCCGATTTAATATTCCCGGCTATTATGATCGGATGTGTCGATTTCGCGATTACATCTAACCATGGGTCGAGATATATATACATACAAAGAAAATTGCAGATTGTCGTCCAACTATATCTGAGATCGCGAACAAATGATCGCGTGTAATTTAATTTTAATGACATTTTATTTAATATAATGCAGAGATACGAAGGATAGAATAACAAAAAATATCGCAATAATCAAATAATTATTTGTTTATTATTTTTTGCCTTTCATCTTTTATATTTATTTATTATTAAATTATATATTCTTTGGTCCACGGAAAAATTACAGATAAGAATTGTAATCTTTCTAATTTCTCTCCTCTGTCTCTTTTCTCCTTCTTTTTAATAAACACACTTTTCGATCATCAATCGTATCTCTACACTAACAATCGATGCAATGTGAAATTTCCATTAATTTCCAGCGATTTTATCCATCGAATCGAACTCATAAAGAACGCGTTAATAAATTATTACCGAAAAAAAAAAACCGAGAAACGAAGAAACAAAGTTTTCTCGCCTGATTGGAATCAGTGCCGCGCCACGAATCGGTTATTTATCCGCCTGTTTGCCTGCCACGTGGATGTGATTAACCGGAACGAGTTAGAATGACCATAATCGATTCGCCTCTCTATGTAAATGCTCGAATAAAACGCCGTTCTATTTGAACGCCGATAATTTTCCAGTGAAAAATCCAAACTGCGATTCACTTCGACTTTCCATTCGAGTTTTCGATTAAACGAGAATGATCGTCCAGGAAATAATTAACATTATCGATGGAATAATATATATATATATATACATATTTTTTATCGATATATTAGAAATATCGATCGAGAGAATAATCGATAGTGTTTCGTTATTTTGCTCGACGAGATAAATTAATCGGCGATTAATCGCGGCCAATAGTCTCGCACGTTTTCAAGCGTAAGAGCAGCAATTATACCGCGCCTCGTACACCACCACCACGTACTCACGAATATTTGTTCCGGAAATGACACTGGCCGTGCCTCGTTTCCTTCCTTCCTTCCTTCCTACCTACCTTCGTGTGCGCCAACCGCATATCGCCCGTGCAAATTCAATCAGGTATTTGCACGGGCTCGGATGACAATTTTACCGGCAATGCGTTACCCCAGAAAGCCTGGAAATATCGCGAAATTCTTATTAATCTTTCCTGGAAAAAATGCGGAGAAAAAGTAAATTTAAAAATTTCGATAAGGTTGAATCGATAAAACTGTTCTGTTAATTGCTAATCGTGCATATAACGGATGATGTTAGTCAAAGAATAAAGCGAAAGGATAAAAGTGTGCGACACGTGTTTGTGAAAGTATGGATGAATCTAGCTGTAATGCATATATTGGGACGATTGATTCTGAATAAAATATGAGTGAGAATGAATTCTAAGTAATATATATATATATAGGTTCTTACGATGGCAAAATCGATGATAGGAATCCGTGATCCTGTGTGTAATAATTTCATTCAGATTCCTTCGCTTTATCGATATATTATTAAGTCACTATCACACATATTTTTCCATATATATATATATATATAGCTTAGAAAAATTTATGAAATCCTTGAATCACTTTCTCTCTCTCGTATTTCGAGAAAGAGATTAACAGAGCCTGGAAGAAATTTATTTAACGCCATAAAATGATCCCAAAGATCGAATCTCGACTTTATCACGTTTATTATTATTCGATGCAAATTTACATTTTACCATTTCGTAAAGAGGATTAAAAAGTCAACATCGAAAGCAAATATGAAATATCATATTTCCGTTCTGTATATCTCTCTTCGTGTTCACTGGTATCATCGAATCTCGACTTTTGTCCAAGCAACGAAATCAAAAGCGTCAAACAAAATCCCACCCCCTCGTAACGTAAACCGGTTAAAAGTCGGTATCAAGCTTAACCCAATTAATTCGTTTAAACTGACCCAGATTACCTATCAAAACAGCCATCATTACGCTCCCTACATTATCGTTCGAGTAATTATTTACCTATAACAAAGGATCGTTAGCCGGAGTGATACTCGAACGAAATAATTATCCGCGATGAGATAATGACCATTTTGCGGGATAATGTCCCTGATTCGGCCTGTTCATCCTTCTCTCGTCCATTTCACATTTGATGCAATTCGTTAAGTCTCGTTTCAGCCTGATTTCACGTGTCACTCTGATCGTTGATTAC